GACATCATCAGCGACTAGTCGACTTCGACTCGACTTTCATCACATAAAAGTCGACTTTAAAAAATCAGAAGTCGTTCAACCACTAGTATATGGACAATAAGGGTGTTAAGACTATGTTACCTGTAATGGAGCTGTTATGGTCATCTCCTGGAATCCACTGCAGTTTCACACTTCTGCCATTATGTTCGGAAAGGATCACATCCTCTGGTGGATCAGGAACATCTAAGGAAACAACAAACTTTATTTAGGGCTGTCAATCGATTAAGTATCTCGAGTTCAATCAGATTCACTACATGATATTGTTGCTTTTTTTGTTTTTGTTGCCATTTTATAGATATTTTGGAGACAGTAGGAGAAATAAAGAAAATGATAGGGAGAAGAGGGAGGATGGGTCTGGGAAATGACACCAGCTGGTTTCAAACATGACAGAGCTCATGCACTACCTGCCAGGTCATGTCTCCAGCTAGTTTATTTGTACAAATACTATGTGGTGCTGTCTTATTAAGTATATAATTCCAGCTGTGGCGCAGCAGGTAGCCAAATCCCGCCTGTGTCGTGCGCTGAACCCAATTCAGCCCTCAAAACGTCTGTCTATCTTTACTTTCCTAAACAATAAAGACCGAAAGCACATAACTCACCCACAACTGAAAGCTGTGCAACCGCCATGTCCTGGTCGACTGGTGTTCTGGCCACACAGGCATAAAAGCCCTGGTCTCCAAAGCTCACATTAATGATTTCAAGCACTCCATCGTCCAGGATATATCTACAGACACCAGCAAAGACACTGATTAGACAGCTCTGACATTCACTACTGTAGAATAATGACATCCTGTTGTATCTCACCGTGCGTTCTCGCTGGCGTTAAGGGCCATGCCATCTTTTTCCCAGAGGATCTCAAAGTCATCACCAATGGAGGGATCAAACTCTGCCTGGCATGAAAACTGGATAGTAGTTCTGGCCAAAACCCGCAAATCATGAGGAGGATCGACTATTCTGGTGGGATCTGACAAGGAAAACAAAAGTCATTTTGGATTATATGGATTAACTAAATTGATTGATTTTCTGAATCTTGTAAACCCCTTGAACTTGACTGATTTACAAAAGAGTATCTGTTTCTCATACCTTTGACTTCAAGTGTTGCAGCAATGGCAACTTTGCCCTCAGTGTTTTGAGCAAAACAAGAATACTCCCCCATGTCCTCTTTCATCACGTTGTGGATCTCCAGCGAACCATTCTTATGAACAGAAAACCTTTCTCCTTCCACTGAATTGGCACTGTCAGTTTTACTCCTGTGCAACCATAAACCAACTGGGTCATTTTCAGAAAACAGCATCAACTGTGTGCATAATAGTGTTCGCATGTCTTTCTGAAATATAAGAAATCACCACCACAAAAAAAAAAGAAAAAAAAATCACACCACCTAAAATCATGTAAACCACAATAATCCAAATAGACTAAAAAGGTTGCAGGTAATTTTTGCTACTTTTTACTAAAATATAAGTCACAGGATACAAAACTTACATTATTTAATAGATTTACCTCTGTTTAGTGTGTAAGGCACAGAACTTTTAAAATAAAACATTAATTTTATTTTTTTTAGAAATACTGCCTTTGAAAAGTTTAAGATCAGTAAGATTTTAAATAAATAATAAAACTTTTTCTCAGCAAGGACACTTTAAATTGTTTAAAAGTGACAGTAAAGATATTTATAAGGTTACAAAAGATTTCTATTTTAAATAAATGCTGTTATTTTGGATTGAAAAAAAATGGTTTCCACTATATCAAATCTGCTGAACATTCAGGAATAAATTACATTCAAATAGAAAACTTATTTTAATTGTAATAATATTTCATAATAGTTTTTTTATCAAATAAATCCAGCCTTGATTAGCATAAGAGACTTCTTTTACAAACATTAAAAAATCTTACCAACCCCAAATTTCTGAACGATAGTGTAGATTTTATGAATTCAATAAAATACTCTGTTTGCTTTCTCTTATGTGCCACCACAGTCAACACTTCTGCTGTTATTGCATTAACTTAACAGTAGCATACTTACAGATCCACATGAGTAGTTTACCTCATTATCACAGTGCTGAACACAGCCTGAGGGCCCACCCTTGAGTAAACTGCTTTACCAGCGCTAAACCACATTAAAGACACTCTATCACTACAGCACTAACCCGTGTAGAGCAGTGCTGCCCTCTGCCGGCCTGTGCAAATACATCCACTACAGCAGGCTCTACTCACCATGTAATACTGGATGTTGGTGAGCTGAAGACCTTACAGTGCATGACCACACCTTTTCCCTCCACTGCCATATATTGCAGATTGTTTTCTGTTAAGATCAGGGGCTGGATGTCTGGGGAGAGAGTTATCAGCATTGAACCATTAAACATGACAAAACACGATTGGATTAATCTCTTTATCTCTTGTCTTGTGATGCACATTGTTATCAGTTCAGTAAAAAAGTCCTTGTCCTTAGGAAAAGCAGATCCCTGCTCTATCAGGGGAGTTAAGCGGGTTTGCAGGGTTACGGAGAGAGAGTTGAGAGTTATCAGCATTGCACCATTAAACATGACAAAACACGATTGGATTAATCTCTTTATCTCTTGTCTTGTGATGCACATTGTTATCAGTTCAGTAAAAAAGTCCTTGTCCTTAGGAAAAGCAGATCCCTGCTCTATCAGGGGAGTTAAGCGGGTTTGCAGGGTTACGGAGAGAGAGTTGAGATATGTTTTTCCGATTCTTTATTAAATTTCATTTTTCCGTTTCAAATTTATTTTTGAAAGTGAGGATCCTTAGCAGCTTATTTTATCTCCCAAATTAAGCATGCTTTGGTTCTAGCAACTGAATATGAATGGAGGAAGGCAAAGTTGTTCACACATAAAAGTGTCTGGCCGCCTGAGGGAGAGTGTGTCTGGAGATCAGAACTGGCAGAAAAGCTCCGCCCTAAAGCCTGTGTGCTATCATGAGGACCTTCCAATCTCTGAACAAACCCAAGGGCTGTCCACTGTCCCTATCACACTGCTGCGTATGGCTCTGTCCACACCAACAAAAAAAGCAAATGCTTGTTCACTGCCAGCCAACACCATGGTGTTTTTGTGAGATTTTTGTTTGGCCAAGAGTGAATGAAACCAAAAGTATCCCATAAGAATGCACTTCTGAAATGAATAATGCCACGGGTCTCTCTTTAAAAGGGTGGAGACACCACCCTATATCATATTTGCTAATGAAATCCAATACTGTTTCTTACTAATTTTGGGAAATAGTGCCTGTTTTGCTCAAGCATGTTACACTTTCTCACAAAATATGTGCATTTTGTGGCATTTTTGCTTTTGACAACCATTCGTTATGAGAAGAAGTCTTGTACTATCCCTTACCTTACCTTCACCAGAAAAACTGCCACAAAGACATGATTCCTAGCCAGGTTACAACTATTTCTTCTGTTCTCAGCTGATTTTCACATGCATGGATGATTCTGAAGACATTTTATGCCTAATCCTGATTATCACATTTTCCACTACTTAAATAATAAATTTTGAATATTTATTTTTGTCATTAAAATCAGCATTTGATTGTTTTTGTTATTTTGATAAGTGCATTAAAGCTGATACATACATATATCGTTTGAAAAAAATCTCCATTCTTATTTTTCGAACTTTGCATCATAAAATTAAGTAATATTAGGCCTTTTGCAAATCAGCAGAATTTTTTTTTTTTTCTCAAACTGGTAAGACAGCATATTTCATTCATCAATGAATGCAAATCCATTACAGCCGTGTACAGTTTACGTACTCATAATCATGATGTTGGCATTGGCTAGGATGGTTCCATGTCTGTTTGTGGCCTCACACTGGTAAACAGCACTGTTTTCGGGCTTTGCGTTGTGGATGGAAATGGTGCCATCTTTTAAGACCTTCCTATTGGATGTTGGGACCTCTGAAATAGAAAAATAGAAAATATGGGTTAAATGATTAGTAAAAGTACAGTATGACAGGATGCAATTGTGTACCACACTGTGCTCCTAATCACACACCTTTATAAAAATTATTACTGTAAAATGACCATCCTAAGTAAATAGATTAATTAAATGCAATTACACCCATTTACACACACAGAAAAATTGGTGACACCTAATTGTAATTTTCATTAACAAACATTATGGCATTATTTGATAGGCCATTTAGAAAGCTATTTTGAAGTCAATTGGCACACTAATTTGAAATCAGTATAATCATAATTTTTCAGTTATTTGAAACAGGAATTAGGAATGTTTACCGTTCAGCAGTCGGCCGTTGACCCTCCATACAACACTAGGTTGAGGATTTGCTTTCACAACACACTTGATCACCACATCAGCTCCAATTGTCACCAGTTGGCTCTGAGGTTCAATCTCAAACTCAGGAGGCTCTGTTCATGCAGAAGAATCAAGTCACATATTATACATATGACATAATTCTGATTAGTCAATTGTGGCATTCAGCAGCCAGATATTTCCTAATAGTCACCGATGTTTGAACACAAACAGTTGTTAAAGGTCAAGATGGTGTGTGTGGAAGTCATGTGGCCTAACCTTTCTTGTTGCTTGAAAATATAGATATATCTATCCCTCAGAGGTCTCGTTTTTTCTGTGTTAAATTCAATAAGGTGTTTACCCTGACTAAGGTCTATATTGGAAAAAATACAGACACTGTATGTGATGAAAATACAGAAACACTAAATATAAGGTTATCTGCTATCAACTATGAATGGTAATCTGTCATATGTATGCATAATTGTTCTCTTGATAACCTGAAAATTATTATTTAAAATCCCTAAAATTATCACTGTGTCCTTGTATTATGTTAGGACTCTATGGCCTGGTTTCACAGACAGGGTTTAGACTAAGCCAAGATTAGGCCATAGCTCATTTGGGACATTAACATCATTTTTATAAACATGCCTTAGAAAAAAACAAAACATTACTGGTGTGCATCTTGACACAAAACAAAGGCACTGACATATTTTAAGATCAATCAGTGCAAGTTTCTTTCAGTTGAAACAGCTCAGACTTTTAGTCTGGGTTTAAGGATTGGCTGTGAAACCAGGGGTATATCTACATATCACGAATTAGTCCTGCAAGCACACTTTATATTTGAACAGAAGATGGCGCTCTTTAAACACAAAGAGTGACTTTAAATACAGACATGATATTGAAACCATTAATAATAAAGCAACACTGGCACATTTACTGTGGTTAGAATATGAGATTAATGTGATCAATAATGTGACTCACCCTCTACTGTAACATGAAAATAATGCACAACCTCTCCAAGGGGATTTTTGGCTCTGCACATATATTTCCCTTCATCCTCCTCATTCACCATCTCAATAGTAAGCAACTTGCCATGACTCTCCACCACGGCCCTTTCCGGAAGCTCGTGGAAACCTATTTTTACCCACTCCACCTTTGGTGTGGGGCTGAAAGACAGAAACAATCAAAACATTTTAAAGTCTATTAATAAAGTTTTAGTGAACTATTCAATAATTTATATTATAAGTATTTATAGTTTAAACATTCCCACTAGATTTCAAAGCATTTGCAGTGGTATAATTGAAATGAATGTCAAGCTCCTAATTGGATTAACAATAAAACAAATTAGACAATGACACTTACAAGCCCTCTGCAATACACTCCAAATGAAGATCTTCGCCTTTCACCAGATATGTATGTGACTCCTTTCCTGTGGGCGTCAGTAGACTGGGCTTCCTCTCCAAGAGAGAGTTTGCTTTATAACAGTGAAAAGATTATGCATGAAAAATATATAATATAATATAATATAATATAATATAATATAATATAAACAAATATCGCCAAAAATGTAAGCATTCATATAATTTTGAAATCCAGGCCAGGCCAGTCAAACTCACCCAAAAAACACCTGCTGTTAAATGGATTCCCCTTTTCTTTAAATGATCATTAACTGCATTTAGAAATATAAAAGGTGCCCTTTCAGGTCATTTCCCTAAAGCAAAATTACACAAAATGCTTGCGAACAGCAGAATAAGGCTAGTGGGTCTGTGCCATCGAAGTGACAGGAGAGTGCTTCGTGTCATTCATAATTCCCATC